TGCGGGCCCGCAGGCCGCGGCCTGGTGGGGCCCGGCCGCGCTCGCCCCTCCCCGGGCCCCAGCGAGCGGCGGTGGGAGGGCGGCGGGCTCGGCCCGCAGCGCATCGTTCAAAAGAAACCCAGCGTCGAGAGACAACGAAATGGAGGAAAAATGGCCGAGCCCCGGCCGGTGGAGGACGGCGGGCCCCGCCGAGCTGCCCTGATCCGCAGCGAACCCAGAGGCATCGCTGCCAAGTGCATCCCTGCTCTGGGGGAAAGCAAGATGGGGCCGGAGGATGGCTGCGTTCCCTGCAGTGCCCCTCCATCTTACAGATTACAGGGCTTCCCCTCGTAGTAAAGAAATTTAAATTTGCATAGCGCCGATGGGTGAAATATTTAAGCTCCAGATGTCGGTTCTCCCCTCACTCCGTGTTGGCTGTCCACCATCAGCAGGCTCCCTGCAGAAATCCAGGGTGCGGTGGTTGTGTGTGAAACCTGCTTGGTGCAGAGTGGGAATTTCACCAAACCAAAGCCCATACACAAAAATAAAGCCTGGTCTGTCCTATTAAAAAAAAAAAGGCACGTACAGGATTAGTAAGAGCAGATGCAACTTGAAAACCAAGAGCTAAATTGATTTATAGCCATGGTTACTCGAAATGCTCAGAGTTTAATCTATTCATAGAAATGCTCTAGAAATCCCACAGGATTCCAATGGAATAAAAAGGAGCAGTGCTCTTAGGCAGGCATTATTTATACACCTTGCTCCTAAAGCAACAGCTTTCCCGTGCAGTTGGAAGAGTTGTGGGTGGTAGCACACAATGGTAAAAAGATAAAATATTGAACAGCTTTCTTAAATTAGCATTTTCCTTACATTTTACCTTTTAAACTGATTATTTTGTTTTACCTCACAGGCCTAAGTAACCTTGTGGTTAATGCTTTATGAGCTAGATGACAGATCCTACCCAACATGGGCTCAGAATTTTCCCATAGAAAATACTCTTAACAGAGACGGTGATTCAAAGAAATTTCATTTTTTAATCCTTTCAGTGAACTCACGAGATGCTTCACCATTTCACAGCCACAGAACTGAGTGAGAAGGACACTGAGGATTTCTGGCGCCCAAGAGTTTCTGTGGGAGACATCAGCACCTGCAGAGCCCCAGGTTACCAATTTTGGGAGCATTTACTGTAAGAGCAGGAATCTGGTTCACTGTATGTGATGAGATAAATAAATCCCTAAGAGCAGCTAAGAAAAATCCTTTTTATATATTTGTGTAAAAACCACTAGCATGAAAAAGCACTTAACCAATATAAGACAATATATAACAATATAGTAGTAGTAATAATAATAAAAATAATAGTTGTAGTAGGATATAGAAGTATATAAAAATATAAGAAATATATAGAGCCCAAAAGAGGCTACAAAGATGTTGAAGGGTCTGTGCAGGGCCAGAATTGGACTGGATGATCCCTTCCAACTCAGAATATTCCGTAATTCTGTGAACCAACCTCTTTAGGGTGCTGCTTGTAAGTTCTACAGCTTTGGGCTAGTCCTGAACCTTGAGCAACTTTGAAAAGGAAGTTGTTAATAAAAAGCACCAGGAAGTCTGATAAGGGAACGAGCAGAACTCATCCAGGTCACTGAAGGTGGGGTTTTTAGAGGACATCACTTCAATGCTTTCCCAGCCTGGAACGTTCACAGCTCACAGCAGTTAGTGACTATTTCTGTGGCTGGAGGTTAAGGACCACAAAAGCACCTGCAGCAGTTTGAAGGGGCTGTGGGGCAAAGATAGCCAAGAATGCCAAAAAACACAGAACCAAGTTCCACAGGCAGAGACAGCTTCTAAGACGTGACGTGAGCACACTAAAGTACATTTTAGGGTGACATGGTGTGCTCAGAAAGCAGGGTATGAATGGGCTGGTGTTCACATCCTCAGTCATGACTCAAGAGCAGTTGCAGTTTGACTTGTTTTCCCCTTCAATGTATTCTTTGTTTTCTTAAGCTCTGTTTGGCTTTCGTTGTGCCCTCCCTTTTTTCTTTGTTGAGCATCCTTATAAAAAAGCAGGTTCAAAGTAAATATAGAAGTGATTGTTTAAAATAGCTCAGCAGTGACCACCAGAGAAGCTGCAGGGTGTTTCAGCTTCTGCAGGGACCCTGCTCTTCCTGTGTCTGCAGTGACCTCCCCACATTCCCAGTGTATGGGGTTCTACTGCTGGTAGGGCACATCATTCCCTTTACTTCCTCCTGAATGTGCTTTTCTTGATAGCCCACCATTCCCAATATTTATTATTTTATGGCTTGGTTTTATCAATATCTCACCCTTTTTTTGTTGTTTTTTTTTTCTCTTCCCCACCATTTACAGCTGACACTTTGGATGTTAATGATGTGACAAAGAGCAGCCAGCAGTGGATGTGGTGGTTTAGCTGGAGAAAAATCCAGGATTCAGTCAAGAAAGAAAGGAAACAATTCCTAATGGAGAATTATGTTCCCTTTTGCCTCTCCTGTGGGATCCAGGTTAGAGCTGCTCCTTTCCAGGACTGCTGCTTCCCTCCAGATGTGTGACTACGTGTGCAGGCTGTATTTGCATGTGGAGATGAATGAGGCTGATAATAGCAGCACTTAGCAGGAAGCGCCGTGTGATGTAACATTTCCTTGATCTAACCTGCTGTTCGTCTTGTGCTCCCTTCCCTGAGCTGCCCAGGGTGATCCTCAGCAGCATCCAGCAAGACAAAACACGCCTGGGTGCACAGGGACAGCAGCACAGGCACGGGGGTTTGCTTGGAGCAAAATCAGCTGCTGGAGAAGCTCAGAGAACAGAGCTTTTTCACACCTGATTCTCTCTTCCTTGAAGATTTCAGTTCTTCAGTGCCATTATCCCCACCCCTCCTCTCGGAGGGTAAAGCTTTGCGGACAGTGCTGTGAGCACGGGGATCTCCAAACACTTGGAGGGATATTAAGAGAACAAATCAGGTGCTGACACACAGGCAGCACTTCCCAGAGAGATACCATGTAGCTCGTCAGCAAAGCTGCCCTGAGTTCTGGCTGATGACACAGCCCTGGCCAGACCAGAATTGGTGCCACAGCAAAACCAAACCCCAAATTCCGAACAGCCACGTGGGACAGCTGCTGCCACCTCTGCCTTTCCCCCCACCCTGATCTTCCCATTGCCTGCAGCTCCCAAATTCCCAGCTCAGCTCTGAGCAGGGACCAGCTGCCATCTGATGCAGTTTTTGATCTGCACTTGCAGTTTTATTGTCATTTCTTGCCAGTTCTCAGCCCTGCAGCTCAGTGCAGCCAGGGTGATGGATGTCCCTGCTGGGCCATGCATCCAGCTGCTTCTCCTGCAACCAACAGCAGATGAAGGGAAATGCTGATGTCCACAGAACTCTGGAGGGAGGCACAGAAGTGCCAGAGCTTTTGCACCCATTATCAACCCTTGAACGACCCTTGCTCTCAATTTCCACAGGCCTTGGACACAACAAGGGCATTTCCTTCCTCAGCCAGCAAAGCTCCAGGATCTACCTGATGAAGCCATGGCTCTGCAGCGATTTTTGGGACAGAGCTGCACACTGGGAGACACCAACCCTGCCCAACAAAGCACCAGGAAATCGCCAACCAGGCGCTTTTTGCCTTTAGATTTCACATTTTTAGGAAAAGGAGGGGGGAACCCAGCCTGGCTCCTGCTAAGCAGCAGCAGCAGCAGCACACAAAGCAATCGTTATGCCAAGATTTAACAGTTAAATCCCTCAAGATCTGGTGCTCACAGAGCATAAACAACCTTTGCCTCCCAGCCTGGCCGAGCTGCACCTCCAGGATTCCCAGCACAGCCACACACACCCTCCCATACCCATCCTCTCCCCAGCCCTTCGCTGAGGCTGCCGTGCCAACAAGAAAGCCAGTTGCCATGGCATTTTTTCCCCCTACAGACAGATGTCCATTAAAAACCAAGTCAGCCTCAGGTTTGCTTCACAGAGCAGCTTTCAGTTATTATTACCAGCCTGCAAGGAATTTCCACTGTAGCCCTTCACCTCAGATGTTTCAATGCACTTCAGGATTAATCCCTGGGGATTAGAAGGAAACTACTACAGAGCAGGCACAGGTATGTTCAGAGGACAAATTTAGGATTATGATTGTGGTTTATGTTTTTGGCAGATGACAACCACATGACTGTGTTTGGAAAGGGTTGAATTTGTTACCTCTGGTGCTCTTTCCCCTGTTCACTGTGCTAAAATCATCAGGCAAATTGGAAGTGAGAGGTGAAAGGTTCCCCTCCTCCGGGATGTTCTCACCTGGGGCTCAGATCTGGGATTTTGGCTTCAGGAGGAACCTGCCTGTGCTGGACAGGGGCATCATCTGAGGCTCCATCCATGGAGAAGGGAAAGCCCAGGCAGCTTCTGTGAGCAGGGCCAAGCACTTCCAGCAACCACATGGCTCAAGGAGCAATGTCTTCTTCCTTGGCCACATTTTTATTGAAGAATGGAAAAAGGGATGAATGGATGCCATAGTCCCCCTCAGCCCATCCTGGGGACCAAGGGCCTGTTGGAAGTGTCCCTTGGGAAAAGCAGAGGAGCTTTCTACTGCAGTGTTGGCAGCACATCCCCAGCATCTCTGCAGGGATGGGTTTGAAGGGAACAGTCAGGTATTTTTATTTGGACTCCAACAGTGCTGAATGTGCGAGAATTAGACACTGAAATTTAACTGTACAGTGGAATTAGTTTTCCTTACTTAGCACTGCAGTGCTAGAAATCCTTAGTGATGTCC